GACACACATTGGATCACACTGTGAACCAACTAGAATATCTTCAACGACTTGAGACATATGTGTTGTGTGTCCTGCTCTATAGGATTAGAAGTTTCAAATGTTTTTTGGTTGTGTACCACCGTGCGCCACCTGTATTTCAGATCAACATTTCAGAGTCTTTATAGGCTACCTGTAACACCTAAAAAGATAATGGCAGCTATATTTTTAAAACTGTACCTGTTACCACTTCCACTTGAATCCCTGCACAATCTTTCCTTCATGTCCCCTTTGATCTCCTGGGCAGAGCCTGTATTTTGCCACATACACCTACCCTTTGAAAATGAGCCATGGACCTGGCCATGGCACTGCATTCACCATAAAGAACAATGCAACAACCTAATCCATAGCTGATTCACCCCATCTAGAAAAAGGTATCTGGCAGTAGAATGAATGTGCAGAGAAAATAATCACTAATGAGATAGCTCCCATATAGTAGATGATGCACAAATATTTATTTTTTGAATTAGGATATACAAAAATGATCTCCTCTATAGGCTCCCTCCAGCTCACCCAATGTTAGTCTCTGTTGTCCTTTCTTTTCAGTGCCAGATAATTTGTGTAACTCCGATAAAATCCCCTTTATCTGCTAGCCATTATGTTTTTTAGTGGTTCAAGTGGTTTAGAAGTTTTTAGCTTGTTGCCTACAGTCTGTATCTCTTCAGTTACGTTACTAATACAGTGTTAATCTACTTTTAAGTGAAAGTTACATTTTGGGTCAATGCCAGAAAGTTCAAGTTATGCCATGCCTTTTTATATCTTTCAGTTATTTCAGCAGAGAACTGTAGCACTTCCCAGCTCCGAATACCTACAATAGTTACAAGGGGGTTTCACTTTCCCACTATTGCCTTTATTTGTTTTAGGGGGCCTCACTTTTAGATTCCCCAAGAGTTAGGAGCTGGCAGTGGGCAATTCAACCTTATGCTTAACATCCATCAATGAAGATTTCTTTCTGGCCCAACTGGGCCATATCATTACTGCTGAAAAGTATGATGATAATGTGGGGGGAAGAAATTTGCCAAGGAATACATACCATATTACTTAATGATGTCCTAATAAAGGCATATATTATTGTGATGCTGCTGCACATATTCACCTACACTTTGCTTCTCCCTTTGGCCGCCAGAAGGGAAGAGAGGTCTCCCTCTCATGCCTGAGCTGCCAACTACCAATGCTGTTACTAGGAAGAAAGACAAATGAATCACTTGCTCTCCATACCTAGAAATAACATGTATGTTCATGAGCTTCCCATTGGCAAGTGGAGCCTTGGGGCAGGAAGGAAAGGTAGATATGTTCTGCTGGTGGGGCCACCCTTAAAGTGAAACTTGCCCTACATGGGCAAACTACAGGTTCGCTTTAATGTCATCAATATAATAGGAAACATCTTATTGGCCCATTCACTTACTGACAATGAGGTCCTCCTTGAGAAAGAGGTCTCTATACCCCCAAAATGTTGGTTTCTGGGGCCTAATTTGTCTGCTTGACTATTGCTGTCACATGTATGGTACACTATACATACTGTATATGATATACAGCATATCATAACTATTGTATTGTATTGTGACTTTTACTACATTTCTAATATAATCTGCTTGTGCATCATATTTTGGTGGGAGTGCTCACCTTTTACAAAATATTTATCTATGTCTTATAGAGGAGGTGGGATGGCCCCCTGAGTTATATCAAGTGCCCCTGTGCTTACTTATTACCTATATTTTTCTATAAAGGAATTCAAGATACAATTTTTAATTTGCTACAGGTTCCCTGTAATGTCATCAACATGATGGCAACATCTTATTGGCCCATTCACTTTCTGATATGCAGATAACAAGGGCAGGATGTGGGTGGGGAATCGATTGCATGTTCTGCAATAAGAAAGAAGTAGGCTAGAGTTCAGGAGGTTCCATTTATAGATCAGCACATCAGTGCCCATGAACACAACAGTTTGGCAGTCCAAGAAAAAAATACCATCACTGTGGGTTGCCCAAATTTGCTGAGCAACCAAGATTTGGGTAATTGTTCATCAATACTCAGCAATGATTCTGCAGAAGGTATGGCTAAGTAGGTGATAACTTTATTTATTTTTTTTCATTTTTAAATATGTTTTTATATTTTTTTAAATAATATATTTAAAGTATATCGGAAGGGTGATAATAAGCTCCACTAACTTTTCCAACTAAGACCCACCTCCCATATCATTAAGCCCAAAAGATTGGACTGTTAATATATGAGTGCTGATTCTGACACTTGCAGCACTGTTCTGAGATGTTGAATGGCCGGGGAGCCAACACCCTAGCCTGGTTGGCAAACCAATATCAAGACTTGGGGAGCTAGTGTAGGCCTTCAGATGATAATTCCATAATACACTAAAATCTGTAGCTGATAGAGGGTGGAGGGACCAAATACTGCACTGCAATCTCCATACAGGAGTCCCCAAATGATTAAAGAAGTTGGTCAGTGATTCAACAGGTATTGATCCAAAACCAAAAATTATTTTTAGGAAAAGTTGCCTTTCAGCTATACACAGCTGCAATCTTTGTCTGCTTTTGTCAGATTTATGATGCAACCGGTTTGCTGTTGTAGTGCCTACATGCTGGTATTTGGCACACGATACAAGATGGAAAAAAAGGAAACATCTGTGGCAGCTTTTTGCTGTGAAAAGGTCTCAGTGGGGAATTCTCTCCAGATAAAGGAATGATAAATATCAGTGAACTGAGAATAAAGATTCACTGTCAGGGTCTCTGAACTCTGGGTACATTGTGTTTTCTGCTGTGTGTGAAACACAGCTCTGGTATATTGAGGATGTTTAAAGATGTACCTGCTGCTGTGTAAGCAAACTACCCCACAGTTACAGAGACATGTAAGAGTATCAGTCACAAGAACAAGATAAAATTGAGTGTTAATGAATTTGACCATACAGAACCATCAACTTTAGGGGACCTTTAATCCCTCATACTCAAGCTATGGTGTCAGCTCAGACAAATCAAAGCTAAATAAGGGGGCAAATATTAGTTTTCCTCAATTAAGTCTACATAGATTATAATGTAAAGCCCAGCTGAACGTTCATTTGGAATCAATGCAGAAGTTTGACACCCCCCCCGCAGAGCCAGACCTATAGCAGTGCAATAAGAAAAACTCATGCTCCCTGCTGATTGGAGTGTTCTGGTTCACAGGGAGTGTGTTGGACCTCTGCAAAGAGATCATGGCTTCCCCATAGACAGGAAGGGTCCCACTATACAGCATGATAGCAGAGAACAGAACTTTGTACTCAGGCTATAGCATCTTCAAAAAGAAAACGAACTATAAGACTTTCCATACTTTTTACCGGAATGTATTTAGCTATAAAATTTTATAAAAATTAGTGTTTGATGGGTCTTTAAGATGGAATTACTTTATACTTGTTTAAAATTCAATCATGAGTGGGTCTTTTTAAAGGGACGCCTTCATTATTCCTTTTTAACTTCATTGTTTATATTTACTGTATATATGTCTTATGTTTAGGGCAGGTATGGGTGAATCCATGCATACTAAAATGATCCTGTAATAGCCTCTTCAAGTCAGTACTGTTACACTATAAGTGCTTTGATATACTATTTAGCTAATTATTTTAAAACAAGAAGAAATATACCTAAACTTTCAACGATGCTGCAGAGCAGAGAACTAGCCAATGTTTTTCGATATTTCACATATGCAAATTAATCTATGCATTCAAACTATTAAGCTGCAATAGCACTTAGGACAAGATAAAGTGGCCTCTCTTGAACAATATTATCACATGTGATAATACAAATAGCCGCTTTTGTACTCCTTAAAGCCTATCATGGCTTGATTGATTAGGACCATTGTTAATCATAAACTGAGTAAAGTACCGCCTATGTCCATTCCCAGGTAAGTTGATCCTGGCCCAAGGAGATCTAAACCTTCTTATGATGTATCTAGCTCTGCTCTCCGATCATATATATGTATGTATGTTTATACAGAGTGATTACATTGCGACAGTATACAAACCTAGAACATGGTACATCCACATATATTTTTTTCCACAGTTGTTCTAGAAACAGATCTAACCTTAACAAACTCACACATTGAAAAACAACAGTGGGAACCACTAACAAACAGTTCGACAGTCGATAATCATAGCTCTATATTGGTATTAGCATGTTCAAAAAATATTTTTTTTGTCAGGATATCAGTAAAGCAAATTATTGCATTTGGAATTGATGGAACATATCTTGTAGGGGTTGAGAGTTACGGGAAATCGTGAGGGTGGGGTGTGGGGGGGTGGGGGTTCTCCTTAGCAAAATGCTGTCATCACAAACAAAAAAGTACACATACTTGTGACACAAACATGACTCTCAGTGATGTGGATCTTTGCAAAAATAAAATATAGTGTATCCAGAAGGCATACAACAACAAACAGGAAAAACACTCAAAAAAAACCACAAAAAAAGTATTTTCGTTAAAGATTGGCACCAATAAACGGTATTGAAAAAAAAAAAAGAAAGGATAGATTAATTTAGTGGCATCAGTGCTAGCAAAAATAGTTTAGAGATTGACTCCGTGTTTGAGGTTGGAGTTTAGAAACTTCGATTTGTTTACATTTGATGACTGACTGTTGACGAAACATGAGGCTGGGATGCACTGCATGTACAATGTTCAGCTTCTGAATGGGCGTTTGGCAACCAATGGAATGGCAGAAGAAAGTAGAGTAAATAGAGGTAGAGAATGTAAGAAAAAGGGAAAGAAATAGCCAAGGGTGTAAGAAGAGAAGAAAATGAGAGTAAGCAATAAAGAGATAGAGCAAGCAAAAGAGAGTAGGAGGAATTGAGAGAGAAAGAAAGAGAGAGAGAAAGAAAGAGATAGAAAGATAGATAGATAGATAGATAGATAGATAGATAGATAGATAGATAGATAGATAGTTAGATAGATAGATAGAGAGAGAAAGCTCAATTCTTCTTCCTTACCGTGTCTTTGCAGGACCTACGTCTCTTGAAGCTGGAGGCCAGGGTGGAGGTGATGGACCTAAAAGAGGCTTTCTTTTTAGGGTCAGGTTCTGCTCTACCACTTTTTCTATCCTAAAATGAATATGTATAAGCAATTAGATACCTAATGTGCCTCTCCTTCAACTACTTCTAAACTGAATATAGTCCATAGCGACACGTGGTTCTGGTGGCCATATCTAATGATGCTTTATCTAAGAATGGTTTATTGGGTTAGCTACAGGAAAGGCAATGGGCCACACTACTGACTAAGACCTTAATGATGTGCTTCCACCTGTAGCCTCTGTTCTTGACATTTTGGTAGGGCCAAGTTAGGAGTGGTCACCACAAGTTAAAAAAAATCCATATTAAAGCTGGTTTTCAAAGACTTAAAAAATAAACTAAAGATGTCCATTCTAGAACTTGGGCACCTGCAAGTCTAACTATACTATATTCGCTAATTTGGGAAAACTACTGTTACTTTGTTTTCCCATCAAAAGTTTACTTGGTAAAGATCCTTTACTCTGCCCTTAATTGCCATTGTTTTGTCAGTCTTTAGAACGTGGTGACCTTCTATGGCCAGAGTCAACTCTGGCCATTGCAAAAGGGTGTATGTTCAGCCTATCTACTGGGGTTGAAAGGGCTATGTGGACAGCTAGGGTCTGTAAGCTGGAGTCTATGTCACAAGAAAGATAGAAGACTGCATTAGAAAGCGGCCATTGTATGAGTTTTCTGTAAAAAATGTATTCAAAAATTTTAATGGTGCATTGGCGCAAAGCGTATATTTTTTCAAAAGCAAAAAAAAAAAAAACAATATAAAATAAAAAATAATTTAAAAAAATAAACAGCAAATAAAATAAGAGAAGCATCTGCGTTTTTTGACATTGCATAAGAAAATGTTGTGAACTCATAAAAGGTGGGAGAGAAAAGAAAAGATGAGGATCACTATGTTATACCCAGTTAAGGATATAACAAAAATTTATTCCACTGGTGACGGGGCACCATTGATGGGATAAATTTTGGGATCTGTCATTTTCCTTATAAGTAGGCATGCACAAATGGGGGAGAAAGCGGGATGGATCAGCGTGGAATGTCTAGATTTTTGCTCCATGTATTATCCCAAATCCAAATTTTTGCTTGAACAAATAGGTCTTTTCAACTTGCCTTCCTTCTAGTACCGAGACAGACTTTTGCCCTCTGTTGTTCCCACCTGTAGAGAGGTCTCAGATTGTAAGAGTGTTTTTCACAATAGAGTCGGCACAGAGTGATAGGCACACGTTACAAGAATGGAAGGGTCCCTCTACATTACCACGGGGAGCAGGGGCTTTCTAGAAGGTTGGCAAGTGAAAATTGTGGTGCTCCCGAAGGTCTAGTGCTACTTGCCAGCAGACTTCTTTCCTTACTGAAGGAGAGAATTTGCGAGAGACCAGACAATAGTAACTAATCTTTGGATTCATTCTGTTACTTGCAGCAAAATTCAAAATCATTTTTCTGGTCAAGAATATCTTGATATATATCTCAATAATTTTTTACTTTTTTTCATACAGTATACTGTAGCCCCAAGTATGTTTTAGGAACTTAAATCTCTTGAGAGATGCAAGGTTTGGTATTTACTTATGAAGATAAGTACAGGCAGAGATTTTTTTAATATATATTCTAGTTGTTAAAAAATTAATTGAAATCTCGGTCACCTATAATTATAAATGTCTCATTTAAAGATGGAGCCATTGTTCTGGCTGACTTTAAAAGTCATAGAATAAATATTTAGGTGCTGTTTTGTTTTGATAAAGAAAATGCATGTCTAAGTTTATGTTTTTTATTGTGAAGTGGTTTTCTTTTAATAAGTCTACATATGTTTTTGTAGTCCAATTAGGTAAACAATTAAGTAGATATTAGATTCCATGTACGGGTTGTGTAAATTTCAGCAAGCTCCTATGGTAATGACTTTTTATGGAGCTGTTAAACCTAAAACATTTATTGGCCTATACAAAAGAATTGCCAATAACATTTAAAGTATAACTAAAAGCAAAACTTTTTTTAGATTTGGATAGAGTAGTAGAGATTAGAACTTGTGTTACATTTTTATTTATTGACTGTGTCCCCATTAGGGGTGGGCTCTCTTTAATTCCCATGATCACCAGTGGCACAGAGAATGAAAGTGAAGGTCTATGCAGGCCAGGAATAGAAGGGAAATTTTCCAATGAGGGCAATTGCTTCTGTGACAACTCACACTGCAAAGATATCCTCCAAAGGAAATGAAGAGAAATATCCCTGATGAAACACAGATCAAAAACTAACAGTGGTTTTAACCCTTCTCTACTCTATTAAAAATTAAAAAAAAGGTTTTGTATTTTGATACACTTTAAATATTGATAGGTGAATGATCCTTGATGACAAACTAGATGCTGACAAAGCTCCAATCTGGTCACAAACTTTGGTGACCAAATAGACATATATAGAATCAAAGGCCAATGGCCTTTACAACATATCTGACAAGAGAAATGGGTTGGGTTCCCACTTCCAGGTATTACACTCTCTTTCAGCCATCTTTGGTAAAAACAATAGCTTTTACCCAATAGAATATTTGAACATGTCAATTGACTTAAGTTCACAGTGTGAACTTATAAACCATTTAATGTTTATAAAGAATGCTTTTCCAAGACAATTTGTGTTTTTTGAGTAAGATGCCAATAAACCCTTTGACCTAGATCCAACGGTATGCAACTGTCTTGGTCTCTGAGGTCTGCAGGAACTCATAGAAGAGCACAGGCACCACAATATTTGGGAATTATTCTTGATTATGTAGATTGTAACTGCACTTTTTTTGACTTTTTTTTTTTTTGTACAAACCTGAATTTTTATTTCAAAATTGCAACTGTTAGATAGTGAACATCTTTTTTTTTTTTTTTACTGTATTCAAACAATTAACTAAAAGCAAAATGGCAACTAGTTACTGGAATTTTCCTCTACAGGAAAAACATGGGTTCGTTAGCCATTTGTCACCAAAATAACTGGAGCTACTCAGTTTATTTTACCACGATGACCTGTCCAGTTGTACACAGAGCCCTTATATCTTGGTGACGGAGAGGTACATGGATGGAATGTCAGCCATGGTGAGGGGGCTGTATTTCAGTGTGGTACATGGATGTTGTATGGACATATGAAGTTGTATGACACGGTAAGGAACCCATGTGGATGCTGTAGACCCTCTGGAAAGTGCAGTCCAATGTTACATCTATGAAATGGATTCACTTGGTCACGACTCTGTGCTGCCCCGGCTGTAAAGGAAGGGTTAGTTTCACCATCACATTCAACAGAATATGAACTGCTGTATATACACATAAATAAATATTATTACCTGAATGTACAAATGAGTAAAACTGCAGCATTACTAGACAACATAAAAAAGCTAAATTTGTTTATTTAAGACATTGGATCAAACACAGCAGTGTTACACACAATGACTATATGGAACACAGGAACCACGGTGCTGATTTATTTCACTTCACAAATAAAGCTGTGGACATTTTGAAAGAATCTATTGTGCACCCTGAAAAAATACTATGCCTACTGGTTTCATTTGAACTAAGGACATGATTGAAATTTGGACCCTAGTTCACTAGTTAATTTTTTAATACCAGTATGAAGAAGGCATCACAAGCTCCTATGGATGCAATATTCTGGATTACATTTTTCAAAATTACAGATAGTTTTGACTCCCAGAAAACTGACAGGCTGCTTTCTACATGATCTCATGGCCTCTTGGTCATTGTCTTGGCTCTTTAGCCAAAAACATAAGTCTTGTCTACATAACGTGTATAAAAACATGTTTTGTAGGCTCATAGACATAGGGGATACATATAAAAAGTATTCATTAACATGTATGCATAATATATATATATATATATATATTTAATATAATGCATTACATGTTAAAAAAGTGGCACACAACTTTTCTGCTGGCAAAAGATGAAAGAATTTCCCCCATATCGAGAACAATTCTGACATGTTCAGGTCCAACACTTGCATCCATTCCAGGCACTTGTATGGGGCATCACATACAAGTACCTGTCTAGGATTAGTATTTATGTATAACCTGTGCTTCTCTGCATATGGGGAAAATATAACTCTGCCTTAAATACTACTAAACCTTGGTACAGTACCATACCTACTAATGACTGCTGTATTCTGTCCTACAGTCTACTGATCCCTGTACTCTACCCTACATACTAATATCCCCTTTACTTTGCCTTACATAGTACTGGCCTCTGTGCTCTACCTTACATACTACTGATCCCTGTTCTCTGCCCTACCAACTACAACCCCTGTTCTCTGCCCTACAAACTACAACCCCTGTTCTCTGCCCTACATTCTACCAATTACTGCAACAACTGACAGCAGTGTTGGGGGTTATTATTGCAGCTATGGACATCAATGTTGAGGGTTATTTTTGCATCCATTGATTCCAATGTTGGGGATTATTATCACAACAACCATTGTCATCAATGTTGGGGGTAGTCTTGCATCCACTGAGTCCAATGCTAGGGGCTACTGGTAAAGTATCTACATTTGTAGCATTACAATTTAATTGTTAAATATTCATTTTCTTGACTGAAAATGCAAAGTAGACATTTTGGGGTTATTTACTAAAACTGCACACTAGAAAATCTGGTGCAGCTCTGCATAGAAACCAATCAGCTTTCAGGTTTTTTATTGTCAATGTTTATTTGAACAATCTGAAGTTAGAAACCGATTGGCTACCATGCATAGCTTCATCAAATTCTGAGTGCATCAGTTTTAGTAAATCTACCCCTTTGTTTTTTATACATGGCACTTTCATTTACGTAAAAACATTTTCAGCACACTACCCTCAAAAGGTTGCTTAACCATGTACTAGGGGCACACCTAAAATCTAAACATTAAATATAAACACAAAAATATGGTGAACTACACTGGATGCGAATTGGCATGCAATTTGCATGCCATGCAACTTGCAAATTGCATGCCAAGTTGCACCCTATTGTCCGCAATTACAGCGGTCATATCGCTGCAATTCTGACTTGGTCAGAGCCGCACCGACATGCACTACCTTTGGTGCAATTTGCATAGACATCAGCGTCAGATGTCTTGCAAATTGCACCTGAAATCGGCATGTCCCCTGACTTTCAAATTGTGCAACTTCACTGTAAGTCGCACGATTTCAAAGTCGGGCTTGATATGCCCGGGGCATTAAGGAAGAAAAAAACATTATTTATTACTGTGTTATAACTATTACAATAGTGACTGCTTTATGGCTACATATTTCAGAGGCAAGCTATAAGTTCACTTATATTCCATTTTTTCAATGTGCAGCCTAGCAATTCCCTAGGTAAAAATATCATCAAGGTCATCTATGAGAAACACAAAGGAGCCCATAATTTTCAGCTCAGACAAATATATGAAAGAGCCTCTGATTTCAGTGACTGATGGGGCCCCTGATGAGAGCATGGTCTTGATAGCAGACTATCTGTAAGAACTAGTGACATTAGTGAGCTGTATAGTTCAGGTACAAAATGGCCTCACTTCATTTTGAGAGTAAAAACTCCACTTTTATATTAGATGTTTACGTTTTTGTTTAATAATACTGCAGTTTTAGCTGCAATGTTGCACAGTGGTCAACAGATGTATTACTTCAGAATAACAATGAAATGAGATACACAAATGACCTCTTTATTGTCAGGACGGACAGTTGTTGGCCATCTTCTGACAAAAGCCAGGTCACAACACTGAAGTCAAAAGATGACAAAAACATTAAAAAAGTGCGGTTACACAAGTACACTGGAGAATCACAATGAAATGGAGAAGACCACAATGGAGATCGGACACAGACTCGGTCATGGCTGTTCTCAGACAGAAGAACAGGGACGCACCTGTTGTTTAAGTTCTCTAAAACGTTTTGTCATACCTGCAGGTTTTTCCTCCAGACATTAACGGCGGCAAAGGCCAACTGCATCTGTTTCCTGCGGGCATCTTTGTGCCGCTTGTATGCAATCTCAATAAATATCAGGAAGATTCCAGCAACAATACCACCAGCGACAAGCATGAAGACACCTAAAAGGAAACAAATATGAGTCTTATAGCAAAAAAAAACAACTTACTTATTTAACACAATTATAATTAAGAGTATTAACAGTTACATTGCTCCTCATACAAGGTTGATCAAAAGTCAGCTTTCCTAATCATACTTTCAGTAAGCATCTATAAAATGTTAGGTCCATAGGGTAGGGGTGGAGAGGCTGACACAAAAGGTTTTCATACGAATGGGGATTTTATGTATGATCTCTGGCAATAGTAAGCCAGCCATGAACATCTCAAATATTGCTGAAATGTATTCTTTGACTCTATACGCATAGAGCCCTGTATCTGCAGATGACATTAACACAAAACACAACCCTCAAGTATTCTAGTGGAATTTCCAATGGACAGCAAAATTGGTAAACTTGCTTGATTTGGATTTATTAAAAAGCTGAGGTTCTTCACAGTGTACTCTTTTAAAGGGATTGGAAAACTGCAGAAAATTAAATATCCATGTGAGAGTGCCATTATTGTACTTCGGCTTTACTGAATCAGAGCTAGTATGCAGCCTAGAAGTCAGAGGATATCAGCTTTCATCTGAGGCTTCACACTTGGTTTTTTTGATTTACGTAATTTTGAAAAAAACTGGTGTGTAACATCGTGTCTTAACATGAGGTCAGGACCAGAGGCGTATTTACCACAAGGCAAACAAGGCATTTGCCTATGTTGTTATTTTTTCAGGGGGGGGGCAGCGGCATTTTTCAGGAAGGCAGAGCCACCCCCCGAAAGAAGGGATGGAAGAAACAACACACACAGCATGGGCACCAGGTGGGATCTGAGAGAGGCTGAGGGCTGCTTGATGGTGTATGTAGAGCCTGAGCTGTGAAGGTGAGTGTCTTCTCTCTCACCAGGGTGGGGGGTTTGCCAGTGCATGGGGGGTGGTGGTAGTGTAAGGCTTTCTCAGGTGGGGTGTTGTTGGTAAATGTCAGGCTCTTATTGTGGGGGGGGGGGGTGTTTGTCAGTGTCAGGGTCTCTCCGTGGGGGGGAGCCAATTTTTTTGTTGCCTAGGGCAGCACAAAACCTAAATACACCACTGATCAGGTCTCAGTAAAGATAGTTCCTATTGTTTGTTGCCAGGGCTTTTTTTCAGTGGGAGGTACGCAATTCCGGCACCTTTTGCAATGTAGATGGGAGAGGAAGTTGAGGGAAACTGGGTTTCTCTATGACTTCCTCGGTCACACAAGGCAGTGATCCGGTTGGTAGTTCTTGTCTGAGGTGACCCAGGTGGCCATTTTGTGTCAATCAAAGTCTATTTTAAAAATCTGACCTCAGGTTTTGGTGCGAATTATGCAAGTGGCTAATGTAGGGACAGGTTACCTGTCTGCAGGGACAGCACTAGAATTAGGGAGAGGTTTCGGTGGAGTAAGGAGAGAGCAGGGACTACATCTACCTCTATGACTAATCCTTTGGTAGACAGGGCGAAACCCATCAGAGGGCATGTCCAATGAAGAGGTGCTGTCTGAGTCCATCACTTACATACTCCGTGCTGGGCAAGTGGCATTCCACATCTTCTATATACCTTATGTAAGGAGTGTCTAGCACTCCTGATCCACCACAGCTGCTGGTCTCATTCCAGCATCCTGTTTTTGGCTGTGACACATTCTCCCTGTCTGTCTGTTCACCTGCAAGGTGATTGATGTGGCCAGTCTCTGGGTGGGGACCAAACCTGATTTGGGCCAGCCAAGCCTGCAGTCTCATGCTTGTGACATTGTGTTTTAACACGTGCGCCCTGTTTGTTTGCCCTGCTCTACTAGATTGCATTCCTTTGCTGATGACCTTGGATCAGATATCAACTACTCTCTGAAATCTGCCCGCCTTATGACTATGGATTGACCCCTGATTATTCTGAACCTTGCCTGGACTGTCACTGAACCACTCTGTACCTACCGCAAGTACCTGTGTGCTTTGCTCCATTCGCATTTGCATCTACGTGATTGGCAGGAACTATAGCATTGTGTATAAGTCCTGGGGACAACCGAGTATAGGTAGGCCTGCTTGTTTTATGGAAAATGGGGCTGCTATAGGTGAAGAATACAGAAGCTAGCTACAGTACCTGACCACCTGTGTTGGGGTAAGCATGACACCTTCTGAGGAAGCTTCCCTTTTGGGTTGGACTGGCCAGGCCTAACTCCGCTCTAGCGGGGGCAGATGCTGTCAGCAAATCTGAGTCTACATACCACTGTCCCTACACTGCACTGTTGTAAGTAGTCCTGGTTGGGTGAGCCTCCCCACCAGGCCTGTTTGTACAGTACTGCTGATCTACATTTACAATAGATTGTTTTTGTCAAATAGAGACTCTGTGTGCTTATTACCTGCAACACCATGCTGCACCTACCCAACAGGAGTTTGTTTATTAACATTTTCACACAACATTCACACACCTTTCTCCAAGGATTCATACCTTTTGCAAATAAATACAGTAAAAAAAAGTGTGAAACTTGGATGAACGTTTTGCAAATTATGTGCTAAAACATTTAAAGTGTATATAAAGCCAAAATGTTTGCATTGCATGGAATGGTTAGAACTTACATAGTTACATAGTTAGTCTGGCTGAAAAAAGACAAAAGTCCATCCAGTTCAACCATAAAAAAAAAAGTTATAATCCTATACCCACAGTTGATCCAGAGGAAGGCAAAAACCCCCCAGCAAAGCATGATTCAATTTGCTCCTGCTGGAAAAAAATTCCTTCCTGATCCCCCGAGAGGCAATCGGATATTCCCTGGATCAACTTTACCTATAAATGTTAGTATCCAGTTATATTCTGTGTATCTAAGAAAGAATCCAGGCCTTTTTGAAGCAATCCACTGAGTTGGCCAGAACCAACTCTTGAGGGAGTCTATTCCACATTTTCACAGCTCTCACTGTGAAGAAACCTTTCTGTGTTTGGAGATTACATTTCTTTTCCTCCAGATGTAGAGTGCCCCCTTGTCGTCTGTGATGACCTCAGGGTGAATAGCTCTACACTGAGTTCACTACAGTATATGAACCACTGATGTATTTATACATGTTGATCATATCCTCCTTAATCTCCTCTTCTCAAGAGAAAATAAATTCAGTTCTTCTAATCTCTCTTCATAGCTAATCTCCTCCATGCCTTGTATCAGTTTAGTTGCCCCTTTCTGTAGTTTTCTCCAGTTCCCCAATGTTCTTTTTGTGAATTGGTGCCCAAAACTGAACTGCATATTCCAAATGAGGTCTTACTAAGGATTTGTATAGGGTTAATATGATATCTCTCTATCTGGAGTCTATACCTCTTTTAATCAAAGAGAGGATTTTGCTCACTTTGGAAACCGCAGCTTGGCATTGCATGCCATTATTAAGCTTGTGATCTACCAGAACTCCCAGATCCTTCTCCACCATTGATTCCCATCCTTCTCCACCATTGAACTTATGGCAGATTTTTACTGCCTTCTTTGTTCCCACCAAGGAGATACGCCCTCTCTATTTGTTCCAGTGAAGGAACGTTATGGGAAATCCAAAATTTGCCACCTATCACAGGAACATGAATATTGAGGACACTAATTTTCCAATGGGGACTCCTGTTTCAGTGACAATTGTCTCACTTTAAAAACCTGAGGTCATGTTTAACACTTTCATCCTCCATTCTTCAAAACTAAACAAAAGTTATGGTGAGAGATATACATTAAGTGTAACTCCTTTGAACAGCTACAACGACAATGCTCACCTGCCATATTCTCAAATGTAAGTGTAGTAGCTGGGGCATTGCTGCGAGAATCGCATTCCTGATATCTAACCCAAGTCTTATCAAGGTCTTCCATGAATCCATTCTCATGGGATCTAGAGAATAAAAAAAAAAATCAATTCAAGGCATGTCAGACAGCATCACTGGAAAGGTTTTGGGTCTTGATTCGGGCTCTGCCAATCTTGTAACCATTTCTAGAATGTACATGAGATGAGATCAACTCTGTGAAAGAAATATCAGCAAATGAATTTTATGTAAAGATGAGTTTTAGTGCTGCAAATTTCCTATAACAGAAATATCATAGTAGACTGGAAGAAAAATGTTTTAGGGTTCAGACCATTAAAGTATACCTTCTGATTAGTTAAAACATAACCACAACTTTTTATTTTGTCTTAGATAATTCAGGGTAAGGCTCTAACCCTCTGTCAGGTTCTAATTCTTGTCTGTATCGCTGCAGGGCAAATTCTGCCCCACTTCCTGCCAGTGACAATGCCACCCTTATTTCTTGAACAGGTGTCATACGGGTGTCACAGGAGTTGACAGGAAGCAAGGGAAAATCTCTCTGTGGGATAACAGAAAGAAGAAAAAAACCTGATAAAAACTTTTGTCTACTCCATCAAAAGCTAAAATGAAAATATTTTGACTGGAATACTCTTTAAAACTTGATAACGACAACATTAAAAAGTAACATTATAAAATCTAAATACACAGTTTTTATATTGAACTCTTATGCACATATTAAAAATAGAAGGAAATCTCTGGTTGCTATATGGAAAACACTGTCTAAGACAAGCCTCTGGTCGCCCTATGATAAATTAAGATTTTATCATTGGTATTGTACAGACTAATATATAACAACTGTCTGTATCATTCAGGTTATTAGAAAAAAGTGATTAGAAAGGCTCAAGTTTTTTACCTTATTGAGCCAACATTTCTGAACACATTGTTTGAACTGGACGAGTGTACTTTCCATTAGTAGCTGGTTGGAGCAGCAATGCTAATAGATGCTTCTATCCATGCTTAACAGCCCATATGGACAAATCCCCCTGCTGGGTTATTGTGTTCTGTCAGAATACCCAAACAGTGGCTGCATGGCAATATGACATCACTCCCTCTTGACGATATCAGCAGGGAGCTCCAGGATGTTGTATTGAAGGAATCAAGGTGAGTATAGTTCTGCATTAACTCATAGACTTGAAAAAGCAGCTCAAAGACTTGCAAAAGCAGCAAGCAGACCATGCATATCTAATGAGTCAATGCGACTATCCCCTTGGACATAGAATAACAAACTATAGCTAGAAAGCTTTTTTGATTTTGCCAAGCTGCTCTGTTTTTCTGTTTTTTTTTTTCCAAAAAAAAAAAAAAAAGAGAATATTTTGGCTTGAAGCTAGAAATGTATTTGACTTTATTTTTCACATTTGCCTGGAAGCCTGTTTTCTTGGTTGAAGAAATATTTACAGTTTTAAAGAATAAACATAAGAGGTTCTCTAGTAGAAAAGAGCCAATGGTAATATACACTGCTCAAAAAAATTAAAGGAACACTTTTTAATCAGAGTATACCATCAAGTCAATTACATAGTTACATAGTTAGTCTGGCTGAAAAAAGACAAAAGTCCAGCCAGTTCAACCATTAAAAAAAAAACAATGAAACTCCTGGGATATTGATCGGGTCAGTTAAGTAGCAGAGGTACAAAAACAGGAATGGTTTTACAGGTGGAGCCCACTGACATTTATTTCCCTACTCATCTATTCTGACTGTTTTTCACTAGTTTTGCATTTGACTAGGGTCAGTGTTACTACTGGTAGAATGAGGTGACAGCTGGACCCTACAGAGGTTGCATAGGCAGTCCAACTCCTCCAGGATGGAAAATCAATATGTGCCATTGCCGGGAGGTTTGCTGTGTCTCCCATCACAGTCTCAAGAGCATGGAGGAGATTCCAGGAGACAGGAAGTTACTCTAGGAGAGCTGGACAGGGCCGCAGAAGGTCCTTAACCCATTTGCAAGACTGCTATCTTCTCCTTTGTGCAAGGAGGAACAGGATGAGCACAGCCTGTAACATCGTTCAGCATGACCATTTTGGTGGTGGGTCAGTGATGGTCTGGGGAGGCATATCCATGGAGGGATGCACAGACCTCTACAGGCTAGACAATGGCACCCTGACTGCCATTAGGTATCGGGATGAAATCTTCGGACCCATTGTCAGACCCTACACTGGTGCAGTGGGTCCTGGGTTCCTCCTGGTGCACGACAATGCCCGGCCTCATGTGGCGAGAGTATGCAGGCCGCTCCTGGAGAATGAAGGAATTAATACCACTGAATGGTTCCCACACTCGCCTGACCTAAATCTAATAGAACACCTCTGGGATATCATGTTTCGGTCCATCCGATGCTGCCAGATTGTTCCTCAGACTGTCCAGGAGCTCAGTGATGCCCTGGTCCAGATCTGGGAGGAAATACCCCAGGACACCATCCGTTGTCTCATTAGGAGCTTACCCCGATGTTGTCAGGCATGCATACAAGCATGTGGGGGCCATACAAACTACTGAGTACCATTTTGAGTTGCTGCAATGAAATTTCAGCAAAATGGACTAGCCTGCTTCATCATTTTTTCACTTTGATTTTCGGAGTGTCTTTGAATTCAGTCCTCTGTAGGTTGATCATTTTAACTTCCATCAAATGAAGGGGCGTCCTTATGTTCCTAACACCTTACCCAGTCCATATCTGTATAGATATCCAGCATGCGATTTTTCCCCATTGTGATCTGATGTGTTTTCAAAGTGTTCCTTTTATTTTTTTTTGAGCAGTGTATTATATCTCATTGGTTTATCTAGGAAATGGCATATTACCAGTCAGTACCAATAACATTTTCTTAATCATTAATCCAGCTTCTATAGAGAGATAAAATCATCACATAGTTTCAATCTGCCTTTTACCTGACCTGCAGTACCTATTGCACATGACACAGAATAACTGGAAATACAGAACATACAATACTTTTGCACTACATAAAGTTAAAAATGTCATTGTTACATGCTATTGTATATAAATATGTAGCAGGTACAGAGTAACTTTCATTGTTTTTTTTACCAGTTGTTTTCAGACATTTAGCTCTGGGGCTTTTTACTTTTACAATACATCAGAAACATGAAATTTCAAAACGTCTGAGTGGTACAAGTAAACTTGCTTTGTTAAATGGAGACAGCCATTTTGTCTTCTATACTATGGTGTGCATGCGAGATGGCAACATCTTGTGCCCATAAATTTCTCCACTGGAACTTGTTATATATGTAAACAGGATCACCTTTTTTGTAAATCATTTTATCAATGACAGTTGTAATGGGAACAAGTGTCCCATCCCTATTGAAAGATTTCCTCTCCATTCCTGTTCTGGTGGCCACATTTTGGATTTATTCTCACTTTCATTCTGTGACATTGGTGATCAGGACACTCAGAGAGAGTGGCACTCACTAACGGGGACCCAGGCAGCAAAAAAAAAACCTGACAGCGGTTCTATCCTCTCACCACTCTATCAATGTGCTCACTAAAATACACTATACCAGTAATAAAGTATCTTTTTTCAATCAAAAAGGGGTCTCCAAACTTTCTAAACAAAGAGCCAGTTTACTTTCCTTCAGTCTTTAGGGGGGCCAGACTATGGCCAACGGGAATACAAAATGTTGCAGCATCAGTGGGAGTAAATAATCCCCTATCATTGTGTGACAACGGGAGTAATTGGGCCTCATCGTTGGTGTCTTTGGGAGGTATTGTGCCCCTTCATTGGTGTCATTGGGCCCCATTGTTGATATCATTGGGGGGACTATGCTCCATCATTTATCTCATTGGTAGGAATGTACCCACCATTGGTGTCATTAGGAGGAATTATGCCTTTCATTGGTGTCAGTGAATTAAATAGTGTCCCAAGGACCAGATAAAAGCAAGCAAAGGGCCGTTTGGTGACTGCACTATACTTTAAAGTATATTTCTGCTTGTGCAGTAAATTTTGAGATGCTCACTATATGTTTGTAATGTATTCTCATTCACACAGAAATCCTAAAACAGTTTTTAAAAACGAATGTAATTTTCTCTATGAATACAGGATGTTCTTGACCGAGGAGAGAACACTTTGCATTCATTAAGTGAAATTTTAGGCATTATCTGAATGGCGCCTATGCCAATCGGACGACCCACTGTGTTGACTATGCAGCAGGACAGCCACTTGACATAGAACTTGGAAGGCAAAAAGGATCACTGTGAGAGCGCTGGCTACTACAGTGGATCTTCACTTCCACAGGGATCGGCCAGGTATGGAATATGCTCCAGGCTGGAGCATTGTAACTATGCAAAAAAAAATTTAATTCAGCTTTAAAAAGGTTTTTTTACCTTTCTACAGTTGCAAGAAAAAGTATGTGAAACCCTTGGGATTACGTGGAGTTTTGCATGAATTGGGCATAAAATGTGCTCTGAATGACATCTAAGTCACAACAATAGAAGAACACAGTCTGCTGAACATAATACTACACAAACATTAGATGTTGCCATGGTTTAATTGCACATAACATGTAAACACTCACAGTGCAGGGAGGAAAAAGTGTGTGAGGCCCTAGCTTAATGACTTCTCCCAGAGCTAACTGGAGCCAGGAGTGAGCCAACCTTGACTCCAATCAGTGTGATGATATTGGATGTGTTGCTGACAGCTGTCCTGCCCTTAAAAAACACACACCTGTTTTGAGTTTACTGGTTTCAAGAAGAACTGTCTGATGTGAACCATGCCTCGCAGAAAAGAGCTCTCAGAAGACCTACGATCAAGAATTGTTGACTTGCATGAAGCTGGAAAGGGTTACAAAAGTATCTCCAAAAGCCTTGATGTTCATGTGTCCACGGTAAGACAGACTGTCTACAAATGGAGAAAGTTTAGCACTGTTGCTACTCTCCCTAGGCATGGTCGTCCTGTAAAAATGAGTGCAAGAGCACAGCGCAGAATGCTGCATGAGGTAAAGAAGAATCCCAGAGTGTCAGCTAAAGACCTAGAGAAATCTCTGACACATGCTAACATTTTTGTTGACACATCTACAATAAGGAAAACATTAAACAAGAATGGAGTACATGGGAGGACACCACGGAGGAAGCCATTGCTGTCCAAAAAGAATATTGCAGCATGATTGAAGTTTGCAAAAGAGCACCTGGATGTTCCACAGCACTACTGGCAAAATATACTGTGGACAGATGAAAGATTGAGTTGTTTGGGAAGAACACACAACACTATGTGTGGAGAAAAAAAGGCACAGCACATCAACATCAAAACCTCATCCCCGCTGTAAAACATGGCGGAGGGAGCATCATGGTTTGGGGCTGCTTTGCTGCCTCAGGGCCTGGACGGATTGTTGTCATTGATGGGAAAATGAATTCCAGAGTTTATCAGACATTTTGCAGGAAAACGTACAACCATCTGTCCGCCAACTGAAGCTCCGCAGAGGATGGGTGATGCAACAGGACAATGACCCAAAGCATACAAGTAATTCAACAAAACAATGGCTGCAACAGCACAGAATACGCCTTCTGGAGTGGCCCAGTCAGAGTCCTGACCTCAACCCGATTGAAATGCTGTGGCATGACCTTAAGAGAGCGATTCACACCACCAGACATCCCAAGAATATTGCTACACTGAAACAGTTTTGTGAAGAGGAGTGGTCCAAAATTACTCCAGATCGTTGTGCAGGTCTGATCTGCAACTACAGGAAACGTTTGGTTGAGGTTATTGCTGCCAAAGGAGGGTCAACCAGTTATTAAGTCCAAAGGTTCACATACTTTTTCCTCCTTGCACCTTGAATGTTTACATGTTATGTGCAATTAAACCATGGCAACATCTAATGTTTGTGTAGTATTATGTTCAGCAGACTGTGTTCTTCTATTGTTGTGACTTAGATGACGTTCAGAGCACATTTTATGCCCAATTCATGGAAAACTCCACGTAATCCCAAGGGGTTCACATACTTTTTCTTGCAACTGTAGTTGTCTCTTTTATGCAGGCTGATTGCAGGCTACTCTGCACAATTTGAAAGTGAAAGTGGAAGGGCATAACAGATGTTAATAAGTTGCTACTTATTAACATACTGTATGATGCAGAACCCAAGCTCCAAGATCTTTAACCCTTTGTTAGGACAGATCTAGGTTATAACTGATAATGAGATCTGCTAGCACAGTATAGACAAGGTTTATTATTAAAACATGAACTCCCCAGCCCCCTCCCTTACATTAATATCCTGCTCTCCAATATACATCTGCACCTCTGTGTGGCAAATCAATATTCAAACTCTGCAGGTCATTTCTGTGGTTTCTAGTACAGTTTTAATGATAGTAAATGGCCTACAGACAACAAGGATAGAGAAGATGTTTACAACATTCCTCCACTTTAAATGTAGAAATAACAATGGCAACATACTTGAGAATGTTCAGTGACACATTTTGTTTCCACGGACTGTCCTTCCTCATACCAATGCCAAAACCAGAACGGAAAAATAATTCTCCTGTGGTGACCAAGTCACACTTCTGAGAGGCCTCAAATTCCAGCACTGCTGAGTCCCAGATGAAGGCATGGAGTTTACTAAGACACAAAGAAAGGAGATTATTAATTATCCAGTCACTGCAATGATCACATAGACTAAAGTTTACAGTTATCTTCCCCCCATTGGAAGATTTCCCCATTATTCCTGTTGCAGACATCTGTAAAATTTTGGAAGTCTCATCACTTTCTGTCTTGGTGACAATGGTCACAGGTCAAAGTGGGAGAAGGCTTTTGCATGTTGACAGTATACATAGGTTTTGTAAAATTTTTTCTTTTAAGCTACGCCATAAAAAAACCCCACTATGAAGAATATTTGTTTTTTTACTGTTAAATTCAGATATTTGTTCTCATTGTGTATACAGAAACACACATTCCAGTAACGTCAGTTCTCGTACTGTAATAACCCCAGACAGCAATGTCGTTTGGTTACATACCAGAGCAGGGGATGGCTTGTTAGCCATGTCACATTGTATTGGGAGGCCACATTTTCTGTTGGGGAAGACTGGAGCAGGGGTTAAAGATGCTGTAATCCATAGCAGCCATTTAGGTGAATGTGGTTTATTCAAACTTCCTCATGACTTAATGGGTCACTCCACCCAAACTGCTGTTTCAATTTTTGGTAGATGCTGGAAAGCTAAAAAGGATAAGGTCACCGTTTTTGGGAACATGTTACATGTTAACCCCACAGCCCGCTTCCTTTTTAGGGAATTTTCCCCGTACTATCTACTGATTGCTGGCATACAAATGATTTTTACCAGGCTCCTGTAGACAAAAATAATAAATGCACATTTTTTTTTACCTGCAAAAAATGTGCATTTATTATTTTTGTCTATCCTTTAAACAATGTGACAGCCTCTCATATCACTCAGGCACTCTGCTAGTGAGCTCTATATGCTGTGTTCCCAACTCTGCACACATGCCATGGTCATTACAAGAGATTCCTACCATCCCTGCTGAATTTTTATTAATTTTAGCGTATGTGACAAGAGGAGGCAAAACACATGAGGGCGCGTGGGAAAGCCCAAAACATTCGATAAGAGGACCAGAGTCGGGAATTCTGGCAGGGAGATCTTGCTATAGAGTACTCAAGATATATAACAAATACTAAATAGAAAAAATCACAGGGAAGTGCTTAAACCAGTGGTGGTCAACTTTTCTTGATATGGGGGGCCTCAAGTGCAGCCCCTGACATCAGCAAAGGGCCACACATAAAAGTCAGTGAATATTCATCACCATAAGAGATGGTCCCAGACTATGGGTATGATACAAGAGATGGTCATAGACTTCTGACATGCTGCAAGAGCCTGTCAGAGACTGTAAAATAGGTGTTGTTGGAGACCTGGAACACGCTTCAAGAATGTCATAAATTGTAGACACATTAAACAAGACTTTTAGAGACCACTGTTATAACAAGGCAATGGGGAAACACAGAATCGTGTCTGCAGGGAGCCTAAAGGCCACATAAAAAAAAGTGCCAGAGGGCTGCAGGTCGGACACCAGGGGCTTAAACCATTATAAATAAATATACTAATGATATACCTGTATGTACAATGAAGACATAACAAAAACTTTGACTGTACACACACACACATATATATATATATATATATATATATATATATATATATATATATATACAGTTGAAAGAAAAAGTATGTGAACCCCTTGGGATTACGTGGAGTTTTCCATGAATTGGGCATAAAATGTGCTCTGAACGTCATCTAAGTCACAACAATAGACGAAGACAGTCTGCTGAACATAATACTACACAAACATTAGATGTTGCCATGGTTTAATTGCACATAACATGTAAACATTCACGGTTCAGGGAGGAAAAAGTATGTGAACCTTTGGACTTAATAACTTGTTGACCCTCCTTTGGCAGCAATAACCTCAACCAAACTTTTCCTGTAGTTGCAGATCAGACCTGCACAATGATCTGGAGTAATTTTGGACCACTCCTCTTCACGAAACTGTTTCAGTGTAGCAATATTCTTGGGATGTCTGGTGTGAATCGCTCTCTTAAGGTCATGCCACAGCATTTCAATCGGGTTGAGGTCAGGACTCTGACTGGGCCACTCCAGAAGGCATATTCTGTGCTGTTGCAGCCATTGTTTTGTTGAATTACTTGTATGCTTTGGGTCATTGTCCTGTTGTATCACCCATCCTCTGCGGAGCTTCAGTTGGCAGACAGATGGTCGTACGTTTTCCTGCAAAATGTGTTGATAAACTCTGGAATTCATTTTCCCATCAATGACAACAATCCGTCAAGGCCCATGTTTTACAGTGGGGATGAGGTTTTGATGTTGGTGTGCTGTGCCTTTTTTTCTCCACACATAGTGTTGTGTGTTCTTCCCAAACAACTCAATCTTGGTTTCATCTGTCCACGGTATATTTTGCCAGTAGTGCTGTGGAACATCCAGGTGCTCTTTTGCAAACTTCAAACGTGCTGCAATATTCTTTTTGGACAGCAATGACTTCCTCCGTGGTGTCCTCCAATGTACTCCATTCTTGTTTAATGTTTTCCTTATTGTAGATGTGTCAACAAAAATGTTAGCATGTGCCAGAGATTTCTGTAGGTCTTTAGCTGACGCTCTGGGATTCTTCTTTACCTCATGCAGCATTCTGCGCTGTGCTCTTGCAGTCATTTTTACAGGATGACCATGCATAGGGAGTTTAGCAACAGTGCTAAACTTTCTCCATTTGTAGATAGTCTGTCTTACCGTGGACACATGAACATCAAGGCTTTTGGAGATACTTTTGTAACCCTTTCCAGCTTCATGCAAGTCAACAATTCTTGATCGTAGGTCTTCTGAGAGCTCTTTTCTGCGAGGCATGGTTCACATCAGACAGTGCTTCTTGAAACCAGTAAACCCAAAACAGGTGTGTGTTTTTTAAGGGCAGGACAGCTGTCAGCAACACATCCAATATCATCACACTGATTGGAGTCAAGGTTGGCTCACTCCTGGCTCCAATTTGCTCTGGGAGAAGTCATTAAGCTAGGGCCTCACATACTTTTTCCTCCCTGCACTGTGAATGTTTACATGTTATGTGCAATTAAACCATGGCAACATCTAATGTTTGTGTAGTATTATGTTCAGCAGACTGTGTTCTTCTATTGTTGTGACTTAGATGACGTTCAGAGCACATTTTATGCCCAATTCATGCAAAACTCCACGTAATCCCAAGGGTTTTCACATACTTTTTCTTGCAACTGTATAAAGTTACTGTACATGATTATGATTAAATTATATAACAAAAGTGGAATGAGTCCCAATGCAAAGTTCAATGATGTGCATTTTAAAAAACGTTTTTCTTTAGCCACCACCGCAGATGTGTCAAAATCAAGCTGCATCAGGTGTTACCACCCAAAGATGAGAAGCTCACATTAAGGAAGGTTAAATTGATGGTGGAAGACCCACACTGGATACCCATCGACATATACTGAGGGATTGCTTTGGAGTTCTGCCTTTATGCCTGCTAGTGGTGTACATATGGATATGCCTTTATTATGCATTTGGATAATGTGAGTGCATATCGTTTTATTCAATAAAACTAACATAGCAATATTTCACTATTGGGAATTTATTGTATTCCTCTGGATTTATATACAGAATTCCGATCCACAAGATACAGTTTCATCTCCAGTAGAGTTGTCACCTGAGGGTGGATCATTTGAGCACTGCTTGACCTTTCTTAACCTAGGAAAAGGTAGTGTGCTTTCCTTTTGATAGACTTACTTCACCATTGTTATATCATTTACAGTGGGGGAAAATAATTATTTGATCCCCTGCAGATTTTGTAAGTTGAAGGGTCTATAATTTTTTTTTTTATCACAGGTGTATTATAAATGATAGAGACAGAATATCAACAACCAAAAAACCAGAAAGACACATTGTTCAAATGTTATAAATTGAGTTGCAGTTCAGTGAGAAAAATAAGTATTTTATCCCCTACCAACCAACAATAATTCTGGCTCCCACAGACTGGCTATGTGCTCATGTGGTACACAGATTAGTCCTGTAAGAAGGTGCTCCTAACGACAACTCGTTATGTGTATAAAAGACACTTGTCCACAGAATCTCTTTCTTGGGCACCACCATGGGCAAGCCCAAAGAGCTGTCAAAAGATGTTAGGGACAAGATTGTAGACCTGCACAAGGCTGGAATGGACTACAAGACCATCAGCAAGAAGCTTGGTGAGAAGGAGACAACTGTTGAAGCAATTATTTGCAAATGGAAGAAATACAAAAAAACCAACAATCTCCCTTGGTCTGGAGTTCCATGCAGCATTCGCCTCATGAGATAAGGATGATCATGAGAAAAGTGAGAGATCATCAGGCCAGAACTACATGGGAGGAGCTTGTGAATGATTTCAAGGCAGTTGGGACCACAGTCACAAACAAACCATTGGTAACACAATATGCCGCCATGGATTGAAATCTTGCAGCGCCCGCAAAGTCCCCCTCTTCAAGAAGGCATATATACAGACCCATTTGAAGTTTGCCAATGAACATCTAAATGATTCAGAGAAGGATTTGGTCTCATCTGTGGTCAGATGAGACCAAAATTGAGCTCTTTGGCATTAACTCGACTCGCCTTGTTTGGAGAAAGAAAGAAAAATGCTGACTATGACCCTAAGAACACCATCTCTATGGTCAAGTGTGGAGGTGGAAACATTATGCTTTGGGGCTGTTTCTCTGCTAAAGGCACAAGCTGATTTTTCCACATTGAGGGGACAATGGATGGGGCCATGTATTTTAAAATCTTGTATGAGAACCTTCTTCCCTCAGCTGGAACACTGAAGATGGGTTGTGGATGGGTCTTCCAACATGACAATGACCCACAACATACCAATAAAGGCAACAAAGGAGTGGCTCAAAAAGAAGCACATTAAGGTCAAGGAGTGGCCTAGCCAGTCTCCGGACCTTAATCCTATAGAAAATTTATGGAGGGAGCTGGAACTTTGAGTTGCCAAGTGACAGCCAAGAAACCTTAAGGATTTAGAGAAGATCTGTAAAGATGTGTGCAAACCTGGTA